CCAAAATATAACAATTTATTCATGTAACAGAGCGCTTGCCTTATACTCAGCAAAACAAATAGTAACAGCAAGGTGGTGATTCGAATAACAGCTTGGTACGGACTCACACTGCTTCTTTCCGGTTCGGTTATAAACGGAATGATTATATAGAAGAACATAATAAGAGGATCTCTAAATGGTAAATCGGTACAGTGTAGACCCTATCGGTGGAAACAACGAGGTCCAGCGTCGTGGGCGCAAACGGGCCAGATAAACTATTCATTATATTTATTTGGTTGTTGTTGTTGGAATGCACGTACTTACTTGCAAGACGGAAAGACTGGCAGTCTACACTGCCGCCAAGAGGTCAAGCGTCTACCTTCTCGCGTTAAATCCACTGCGTACTGCAAGTAATGGAAGACGTTTTCACAAATTCTGTACGACAACCTAATTTAACCGACTTTAACGGGTTGCTCCAGGAAGACGAGTTACTCGTTAGTCTGGCTGCTAGCTAGCTTCCATGTGTGGCGTATTGTTGAACGGCCTTCGGTTAAGGTTAATTGCAAAATAGACACTTCTCGGGTGAATAAGCAGACACCGACCGGCAGAGACAGCGCTGCCAGGTCGCATACCCCAATGACGCCACTAGATAAGTTTGCTTGCCTTTATTTACTTGTGGTTAGGTTTTGGGGCCAAAATACTGGAGGAGACAGCCTCAAACAAACAATCGATGTCTGCATTCAAAATTTCAAACAAACAACAAGCATGTCCACTGGTAGTATTACGGCCCATGGTATAGCGTCCACGGGAACTGGCGCGTACCAAAACCCTGGTTCAGTGCTCCAGACGAATAGAATGCGATCTGAACTACTTAACTGGGAAGAAACGCTTGGTATAGCATGGTGGAATGTGGTAGCATTTTGGACGCTGTTGTCTAAAGTGTGACGGGGTGCAGTATTCATCAGTACCCAGTTGATGGATACAGCCTATCCGAATTCGAGATCCCACTCCATCCTGTGCCACAGCGGCCCACGCGACTCTTCTGGTAGACACGGTGTGGCTATTGCCTTTTCGGAACAAGCAAACCGCGCGCTAGTTGTACGGCAACCAGTCAGCAACTGGATGGTTCATGCATAAACGTCAGCTGCCAAAGAGACCTAATCTCAGGTGTACAGTAGATTGTATATCTAATGAAATGTGAAGATCAAAATTTGAGTGGGGAATTTAACATACATTGGTGATTGCTTATTTTGTTCATTGAGTTGACTTGAGGCACAAAATGCTGTTTAATAGAAAATAAAATTCAGTTCAGATCCGTATACTGGGGGCAAATAGGTGCGGAATTGAGCCAAACCCAACGTTTTCTGAGATCAGAGGAACTTCCTACGCTATAAAACGTTGGGGGAAAGAAATTTTCTGTGTGTTGTACTGATAAAAAAGATAAATCAAGACCAGAAAATTCTTAATTATTTGTTGAGAGAAAAAATTTACTTTGCATTTATGAGATTTAATTGAGCGTAATTGAGATTTCGCATTATTTTGGGAAGAAAAGAACGAATAAAGTTTACAAAATGTTATTTTACAAATCTGCTAAAATCTACAAGTATTTTGCCTGCACTTTGATGCCCAGACCTCAAGAGGTGATTGAGCAAGTGTGGAGAGGTGAAGTACTTCGGAATAACTGGTATTCGGGCATTCTCGTGCCGGTCTTCAACAGAGATTAGAAAAAGTGCAAGAACTACCAGAGCGTCCTAGAAATTGGAAACTTTCAGAATTTCGAGGATTTCATGCTTTGTTGTAAACAGTTAAAAAAATGAGAAATAACATGGAACCACAGCTTCCAATCGCTGAACCTATGTTAATTTTTCTGCTGAAGAGATCTCAGCAGAGCAGACAGACATTGTAGCGGTAAGCTCGTCGGCTAGAGCCGCAAGATTATATCTTTCAAACTATAATTTATCAGTTATTTGTCGTCAAATGTTGATCAACTTAGTAATGAAAGGAACGGAACTCATCTTTATGACCTGTCTGCAAGTGCCATGATATAACGGGCTTCTAAACAAGCTACATCTAGGAGCATGAAAAACGGTAGTAAAGTACTTACACTCTGAGAGCTCCAAGGCCCAGCCCAGTCTCTAACTTTTCGTCAAAGTTATCTGCCGTAATCCATTCGTCCTCCTCAACTTTGTCCGCTGACGTATGCATGCCCTCAGTTTTGTCACATTCAGGCTTATCGGGGGCTTCTTCCACGTCTTCGAACGAATCTGAAGAGTCATCTAAAACTGCGTCGAAGTCTTTTTCGCTGGACGATTCACATTGG